AGGAGGAAGGAGGGATGAGGAGGAGGAAGAGGAGGAGGAGGAGGAGGACTACCCGTGGAATACCCTGAGAAGTACCAGTCGTCAACAACAAGCAAGTTCGCTTACCCATCGTGCACATGAGAATACGCCATCGTCTCCACCAGCCGCAGTGAGCAGGCGCTCCTCCTTCAAGAAGCAAGGTGCGCAGATGCGACAAGCTCGCAATCACGGCCTTCCAACGAAGGCTCGGCAAGGACACAGACAACTTAGGGTACATCCAGGCAGACAACAGGGACGGGCGGGCCACCTAAAATCTCATTGGCTCGCAGCCCTCATCTCTGTGCGGCGCCACTCAACTCGCACCTTCACGAGCCTCGCCGCCTGACAGTTTTCGAGTTACGGTGGAGGCCCAAACCAAGAAGCACCCTGCTTGCCTCCAGGGTGTCCTGGATTTCCTGGATTCCCATGGTCTTGCCAGGGACAGCGTGACGCTCCCACGCCAAAAACCCATGGACGCCCTGGGCTTCCAGGGCTGGGTTTCTTGCGCAAGGTTGCTTGTGGACGGGCTCCTGCCGTGCGTCCTCGGACCACGACGCGCCCCGCTCTGGCGGCGCCGCCCCTCCGGCAGCCTCCGCGGGGAACCGCTCCCACGGCAGACAGCCCGCCCCCACGCATGCCAGGACGGGCCGGAGGTTGAGAGACCTCCTGCCCTGCCACGTCGATTCAGGAAGTGGCCGTTCTCGGCTCGCGAGAGGGCGTCGCGGCCGTCATTTTTGCGGGCCCAGGTCCGTCGGTTTCGGTCCCAGGCCGTTTTCACTAAGGGGAGGTTTACTGAAGGGAGGTTTGTCCACCGCCGAACATTGTCCCTCGATCCTGCCCTCGATCCTCCTCCTCCTCCTCCTCCTCCTCCCCCTTCTCCCTCTACCTCACTCCTCCTCCTCATCATCCTCCTCCTTACTCCTCTCCCCCTCGCTCCTCCTCCTCCTCTCATCCTCCTCCTCCTCCTCCTCATCATCCTCCTCCTCCCTCCTCCTCCTCCTCCTCTCTCCTCCTCCTCCTCCTCTCTCTTCCTCCTCCTCCTCCTCCTCCTTCTCCTCCTCCTCCTCCTCCTCCTCCTCCTCCTCCTCCTCTTCTTCCTCCTCTCTTTGTTCGGGGGGGGCCGTCGCTGGCGCCCGGGTGGTTTGAGGAGACCGGGCCTGGCCCTGGCCCCGGGCAGGCCGGGCGGGGGTCTCCAGCGAGCCGCCCGCCGAGGGCCCGCCGCCCCCCCCCACGCGCGCCAGGGCGGGGCGCCCTGGCCTCGAGACGTGCAACGAGAAGGGGGGGGCGTGCGACGAGGGGAGGGAGGGGAGAGGAGGAGGAGGAAGGAGGAGGAGGAGGAGGGAGGGAGGAGGAGGAGGAGGAGGAGGAGGGAGGAGGACGAGGAGGAGGAGGAGGGGAGAAGGGGGGGGGCGTGCGACGAAAGGGGGGGGGGGGGGCGTGCGACGAGAACGGGGGTGGGGGGATAGCCCCAGGAGGAGAGGGAGGAACGCTGTAGTTCAGTTCCCCAGTGCGCCCCGTGCCCTGCCTATAGTGACACAGCGCGGCGTAGAAGTGGATGAGGAAGAAGAGCAGCAACACCATTAGCAGCAGAAGCAGGATGAGGAACAGGAGGAGGGCGAAGATGATGATGCTGATGACGCTGATGATAATGATGATGATGATGATGATGATGATGATGATGATGATGATGATGATGATGATGATGATGATGATGATGATGATGATGATGATGATGATGATGATGATGCTGATGCTGATGATGATGATGATGATGATGCTGACGATGATGATGATGCTGCTGATGATGACGATGACGATGACGATGACGATGACGATGATGATGATGATGATGATGATGATGATGATGATGATGATGATGATGATGATGATGATCATGATGATGAGGAGGAGGATGCTGCTGATGATGATGCTGCTGCTGCTGATGATGATGATAACCATGTACCACGGAGAATACTCCCACAGGGATAATAAAGTTCGGGGTCGCGGGGGGGTTATAAATGTTGCCTACCGGAGGCCAGCATGTGGGAGGAGAAAGAGATGATGTTAAGAGGACCGAAAGCCGAGGATCGAGGATCGAGAATCGAAGTCCGAGGATCGAGGATCGAGATCCCAGAGTCGAGGATCGAGGTCCGAGGATCGACGGCGGCGAGGTCCGAGGAACGAGGATCGAGGTCCGAGGGTCGGAAATCGAAGATCGAGGATCGAGGTCCAGGGTGCCAGGGGGAGAAGGAGGAAGACAGATAGAGACAGAGACAGAAAGGTACATACAGTTAGAGAGAGAGAGAGAGAGAAGTAGAGAAAGATAGACAGACAAAAGGAGAGAGGAGGAGGAGAAGGAGGAGGAGGAGAGGGAGGAGGAGGAGGAGGAGGAGAAACGCCAAATATCCAAACCTATTGAATTTTAGTTGTAAATAAACAATGGAAATTCAGATTTTCATCTGCTCGTGTAGGGCAGCTCACGTGCCTCGATTTTCGTGGATAGTAAACCGCAGCGATAGAAAAGCCCAGGGTGCCAGGGGGAGAAGGAGGAAGACAGATAGAGACAGAGACAGACAGATACAGATAGTTCGACAGGGAGAGAGAGAGAGAGAGAGAGAAGGAGAGAAAGATAGACAGACAGGAGGAGAGAGAGAGAGAGAGAAGGAGGAGGAGGAGGAGGAGGAGGAGGAGGAGGAGGAGGAGGAGGAGGAGAAAAGCCAACATTCCAAACCTATCAAATTTAGTGTGTAAACAAACAATGGAAATTCAGATTTTCATCTGCTCGTGTAGGGTGCCTCATGTGCCTCGTTTTCCGTGGATAGTAAACCACAGCGATAAACAAAAAAAGTTCCGGGGCCAGGGGGAGAAGGAGAAAGACAGAGAGGGAGAGGGACAGAGACAAAGAGAGAGAGAGAGGGAGAGATATATATATATAGAGAGAGAGAGAGAGAGAGAGAGAGAGAGAAACAGGAGGAGGAGGAGGAGTAGGAGGAGGAAGTCTCTCATCGACAGGTCTCTCGCTTCGCTTGAGACATCCTCGAAGAATGGTTGGTTCCGCTTGAGACATCCTTGACACATTGATCGTTTCGCTTGAGGCTGCCTCCAAAATTGTTGGTTTCGCTTGAGACATCCTCGAAAACGTGTTCGCTTCGGATGATGTTGCTATCTCAACATAATGTTAACCTCGATGGTGAACTTTTCACAGTGATAAAAAAAAGTTCGGCCTCCGCGCCTCGCGCCCCTGACCAAACTCTTCTTGGCCGTGGATAATCAACTCTAGCGTGGAAAGGGGGGGGGTCCTTTATTATCATCGGCATGCGGTTAAGGAGTTGGAGGAGGAGGAGGAAGAGGGGGGGGAGGAGGAGGAGGAGGAGGAACATGGAGAGGAGCAGGACCGCCCAGAGTCAGCTGGAGCCTGGGAACTATGGTGGTGTGGCGACTGGTTTTCCAGCTTGTCGCGCATTTCCGCGAACGGGCTTTGGACCCTGGGAATTTCACCAGATGGAGCTCATCTTTCGTGCTTGTACCTGTTTTCAGCGACGGGTGAGCCGCCAGTCGCTCGGGACAAGCAGGCCTGGGCGTGGTCCCGCCTCGACCCACCGCGTGCGGGGCGACATTCTTCTCTCTGCTGGCCTGAACCTTGCCGGTGCGTGGCTGCTGCAGTGCCGTCCTATATATGTATATATATATACACATATGTGGTCGCTGCCAGAAGCGGCTGAGGACAGTGCCCGAGCTGCGAGGGCGCTCTTACTTTCAACTCACAAGGCTGTACAGTAAGTCGTTGGACACTGTGCAGCGCGGAAGCACGAGTGATATGCACATATATATATATACATATATGGTTATATACACATATATTTATATACAGACATACACCTCTCTCTATATAGTCATATATATATATATATGTATATATGTATATGTAGATGCATATGTAAATGAATATATATATATATATATATATATATATGTATAGTTGGCGCGAGCCGCCCTGGGAGTACAGCGCCTCGGGACCGTGGCGTGTGCAGCTCACCCGTGCAGGGGCTTCCTGCCTGCGTGCGGGCCTCGAGGTCCTCAGCATCGACCCCGCTCGGGAAATCCCGCCGTGGTGCGTTGAAGAGGCTGTGGTGCGTGGACGGGGGTTCTGGCCGTGGTGCGTTGAAGAGGCTGTGGTTTTGGACGTCCTCCTCCTCCTCCTCCTCCTCCTCCTCCTCCTCCTCCTCCGCATGGCTCCCCCTTCGAAGATCCACTTCCAGGCATGCCGACGGGTGAGTTCTGGACCACACCTGCACCTCCTCCTCCTCCTGCTCGTTCTCCTGCTCCTCCTCCTCCTCCTCCTCCTCCTCCTTCTCCTCCGCCTCCACCTCCTCCTCCTCCTCCTCCTCCTCCTCCTCCTCCTCATGGCTCCCCCTTCCACCCGCTCATAGTCGATCCCTGCACCACTCTAGGGTTCCATCCTAGAGTGTTTCCGTCCTGTGCAGATCTCCGTTCGCCTCCAGGCCCGAAACGGGCTTCCCGAAGCCGAAGCCCACGACGAATATCAGAATTCACGGAAAGCTAACATCAAAATGCCTCGTCTTTCTCCTGATCGTAGCTTATGGCATTGTGTCCGATGGTCCGAGCTATCAAGCCCCCCCCTGGCGGCCTTCGCTGGCCGTTGGGGGGGCGACAGAAGAGGGGCCATCCAGACGCAAAAGATGGGGAGGAGAGGGGGGCAGGAGGGCGGATGGAGGGAGAGGGAACCTCCTAAGTTGGGGCCCGAGTACGGAGAGGAGGAAGGGGGCACTCCTCCTTCTCCTTCTCCTCCGCCTCCGCCTCCGCCTTCTCCTTCTCCTCGCCCCCCTGGAGCCGCCTGGGGCTCGAACGCCCAGGGCCTCGCGAGCCCCTCGAAAAAGGGCTGCTGGGGGCGGGGGGAGCAGGGCGGCGCCCGCGGCTCTCCCCCCTCCGGCGAGAGGCCCGCGCTGCAGCGCGGGGCCCGCATGAGGCGCGCGCGCGCGGGGGGAGGAGAAGCGAACCCTTCAGTCCAAGAAGACAAGACGGCACAAACATACACTTCCCCTCCGCGACATTCTCCGTTGCAGCCCCTGCCCCCCTCCTCGCCTCATATGTCGCGCCCCTTGCTTCGAGAAGGTGGTTGAGGAGGAGGAGGAGGAGGAGGAGGAGGAGGAGGAAGGAGGAGGGGGAGGGGGGGGAGGGGGAGGGGGACAAGCTAGGTGCGCTCGCGTCATATCTGACATCCTACCCCTCCCTCCCATCCCTTACCATGGCGCAGAGCCCCTCTCTACTCGCACAGTCGGATGTCGAGCAGGGCAATGACCCCGAAAGGGTACGCGATGCATTGTAGATCACGGCATGGCATGGCGTAGAAGAGCACCGCAAAGCGTAGTATCAACCTAGCATTGCATTGCATGCCGTGGCATGGCACGGGAAATGACGCCAGCGCTGCAGCGGGAGCACGAGTCGAAACGAGCGGAAGCGCGGAAATGAGGCCAGCGCTGCAGCGGGAGCACGATTCGGAACGAGCGGAAGCACGGAAATGAGGCCAGCGCTGCAGCGGGAGCACGATTCGGAACGAGCGGGGCCCGAAAATGAGGCCGGCGCCTCAGCGAGAGCAGCATGTTGAAAAAATGCATGCGAAAACCCAACTCCGGGGAAACCTGTGTGCAAAAAAAAAACAGTACGCGGGGGGGGGTCGGACACTCCCAGGCCGTCATCAGGGGAAGAGGGAGAGTAGTATTCATATTGAGTAATGGCAGGGGAGGAGGAGGAGGGGGAGGAGGAGGAGGAGGAGGAGGCGGAGGAGAAGGGGGAGGGGGAGGGGGAGGGGGAGGAGGAGGAGGAGGAGGAGGAGGAGGAGGAGGAGGAGCAGGAGGAGCAGGAGGAGGAGGGGGCCCCTCCTCTGCGGTCTTGGCCCACCCCGTCACCCGCCGTCCGCCGCCGCCTGTCGCCCGCCCCCCGCCGTCGCCGGTCGTCCGCCCTCGCCATCGGCGTCCTCGCATGCTTTGCTGCATGCGTTTCGTTCCTTCGCCGTCGGTCGTTAAAGTTAGGTATTTCTAAACTCCCAGATCAAGACCTCCTTTGGCCGCCTTCCCACTTCAGGAGTCGAGCGGTTTTCACTCTTCCCTCATCGTTGGGCGGCGGGCGGAAGCCCAGTCTACGTCCAACGCCTTCCTGCTTCACGTCTTTACCTACGTCTTCCGACCGACGTGTAACGTCTTGCTCCACCTCCCCCATCGGCTATTTTTTTTTGGGGGGGGGGATTCCAGGTTTCGGGGGCCCGTTTCCGGCCTGGGGGGGGACCCTTCGGACGCCGATGAGGGGCGAACAGCGACGGGGCTGGATGAACCTTAGGATACGTCCAGGGACCGATGTAGAGCGGATGGGAGGAGGAGGAGGAGGAGGAGGAGGAGGAGGAGGAGGAGGAGGAGGAGGAGGCGGAGGGGGAGGAGGAGGAGGCGGAGGGGGAGGAGGGGGAGGAGGAGGAGAGATGAGGAGGAGGGAGCAGGAGGATAATCATAAGTTCGAGCTTCGACATGTGTGTTTGCCCAACCATCCTGTGGTGTTGGTCCTCGTTGAAGGGATCGCCTCGCGTTCCACCCTATCGCCTCCTCCCCCATCCTCCATCATCATCCGCATCAGCAGCATCACAATTACCATCATCATCATCATCATCATCATCATCATCATCATCATCATCATCATCATCATCATCATCATCATCATCATCATCATTATCCTCCTCATCATCATCATCACTATCATCATCTTCATCATCATCATCATCATCATCATCATCGGTATCGTCGTCATCATCACCGTCATAATCACCATGATCATCGTCATCATCATCATCGTCGTCGTCGTCGTCATCGTCGTTGTCATGATCATCAAAATAATCGCCATGAAGTGCACTATTATCATCAATACCACCACCACCATTATCATCATCACCACCATCATCATCAGCATAAGCATGATCATGATCATCATCATCATCATCATCATCGGCATCGCAATCACCATCCTCATTATCATATCCATCATCCTCATCATCATCATCACCATCGCCACCAGTATCACGCCATCGTTATCGCCACCATCACCATCACCATCAGCATTATCATCATCAGCATCATCACCGTCACCATCATAATCGCCACCATCATCATCACCATCACCGTCATCATCAACATACTCACCATCATCATCATCATCATCATCACCATCATCATCATCGCCGTCATCATCATCAGCGTCATCACCATCATCATTACCCCCGCTATCCTTTTTCATCATCACCATCGACATTATTTTCACCATCCTCATCATCATCAGCACCAACGCCATCAACATCATCACCATCATCATTCGCACCGTCACCATCACCATCCGCATCATCTCAATAATCATCATCATCATCACCATCATCATCATCATCATCATCATCATCATCATCATCATCGCCGTCATCATCATCAGCGTCATCACCATCATCATTACCCCCGCTATCCTTTTTCATCATCACCATCGACATTATTTTCACCATCCTCATCATCATCAGCACCAACGCCATCAACATCATCACCATCATCATTCGCACCGTCACCATCACCATCCGCATCATCTCAATCATCATCATCATCATCATCATCATCATCATCATCATCATCTTCATCATCATCATCATCGCCCTCATCATCACCAGTAGAGCCGTCACCCTCGTCATCATCATTGTCGTCATCATCATCATCAGCATCAGCATCATCATCATCGGCGTCGTCGTCATCATCATGACTACCATCATCATCATCATCATCATCATCATCATCATCATCACCAGCCGCAGCAGCAGCATCATCGTCATTATCACAGCTGTCATAATCAACATCATAGCTACCATGTTCGGCACACCCCTCACACGTTTCGTGGGCCTCGATGGAGCTCCACCGAAGGCCCAAGTGGCAGCGCCCGCATGCCGTTCCACTCCAGATTTCGGCGCACACCTCACACGTCTTGTGGCCTTATAGGGAGTTCCACCGAAGGCCCCAGTGTCAGCGCCCGCATGCAGTTCCCCCCCCCAATGTCGGTGCACCCCTCACACGTTTCGTGCACCCATAGGAAGCTCTACCGAAGGCCCCAGTGGCAGCGCCCGCATGCGTTTCCTCTCTCATTTTGGCGCACCCCTCACACACCTCGTGGCCCCATAGGGAGCTCCACCAGAGGCTCCAGTGGCAGCGCCCGCATGCGGTTCCACCCTGAATGTCGGCGCACCCCTCACAAGCATCGTGGCCGCATAGGGAGCTTCAACGAGGGCCCTAGTGGCAGCGCCCGAATGCCTTTCCACCTTGAATTTCGGCCCAGCCCTCACACTCTTCGTGGTCCCACAGGGAGCTCCACCGACGGCCCCAGTGACAGCGCCCGCATGCGGTTCCACCCTGCATTTCGGCACACCCCTCACACGCGTCGTGGTACCATAGGGAGCTCCACCGAAGGCCCCAGTGGCAGCGCCCGCATGCCGTGCCACCCCAAGTGTCGGCGCACCCCTCACACGTTTCGTGGACCCTTAGGGAGCTCCACCGACGGCCCAAGTGGCAACGCCCGCATGCGGTTCCACCCTGCATTTCGGCGCACCCCTCACCCCTCATGCGTTTCGTGGCCCCACATGGGGGCTCTACCGACCGCTCCAGTGGCAGCGCCCGCATGGCGTGCCCGTGCTCGTTTTGGAACACCCGTCCTACGCGTCGTGGCCCCATAGAGATGTGCACCAGGGACGATGCTCACAACTGCGCTACTCCCAACCGCACATGGTTGGGCCCCTCGCCAGGATCACTGTTGTGGGTTGTGCTTGTGGTTCTATGCATTCTGTTGTTTAGGTCATCCAGGGGTCTCGTCACCACGGCTGGAGCCGCCTCGAGATGCCAGCCAAAACGCTCCCTTGGTCATGTCTGGGGGCCTCATTCTTGAGAGGAGGAGGAGGAGGAGTAAGAGGAGGAGGAGGAGGAGGAAGAAGACGAGGAGGAAGAGGAGGAGGAAAAGGGGAGAGGGATGATGATGATGCTGATGATGATGATGACGATGATGATGATGATGATGCTGATGCTGGTGATGATGATGATGATGATGATGATGATTATGATGATGATGATTCTGATGATGATGATGCTGAGGATGACGATGATGATGATGATGATGATGATGATGATGATGATGATGATGTTGTTGATTATGATGATCATGAGGATGAGGATGATGATGATGATGAGGATGAGGATGAGGATGAGGATGAGGATGATGACGATGATGATGCTGATGATGCTGCTGATGATGATACTGATTGTCATGATGATGATGAGGAGGAGGAGGAGAAGGAGGAGGTCCTCAGTGCCCTGGTCCGTGAGCGTCGGGATAGCCCCCTCAAGGGGCACCGGACTTCTCTAGTCCATCTCTTGGACCGGTCGGTTCTCGTCGCCTGCTCCTGACCGTCCGTCCCCTCGTGCGTGGCTGGGCCGCTCTTCTTTCCCTCTCTTCCTTTCGGATGCAACTCCTGGGAGGTCAAGTTCTGATTTTGCCCTGGTCCGAAGTCCGGCTGTATCCGGCTTAATCCCGCTTAATCCCGCTCAATCCCGCTTTATCCCGCTTAATCCTGCTTAATCCGAAGCCCACTCTGGCATAACAGCCCCGCAATGGGGCTTAACCCTCCTTAATCTTTCCGACGAAGACCTCCCAGTAGTTGCTTCCTAACTTCCTCGGCCTCGTCCTCCTCCCTCCGCCTCGTCTCCCCCCTCCTCTCCCCCAGGGCCGCTGGCCTGGCGGGAGCGGTCGCGCTCCACCTCGCCGCGGCGGTCATCGACGCCCAGGTGCCCTGGCCGCAAGTCGGGCCCGTCCCTCTACAGGAGGAATGCTCAAGAACAGTAAACAACATAGTTCGAGGACGACTTTTTTTTTGGGACTATGTTTGAGCATGTTGGGGTATTCGTTGAGGTTTTTTTTTTTGGTTCGCCCCAAATCCCCCTGTAGGGGGCAGGCCCGACCCAATCCTGGCCGAGGAAGCCCACGGGGGGAGCGCCGGCCGCCGGAGGCCGCCGAGCGATCCACGGCCGCCCCTCGGCGGCAGGCCGCGGCGGGGCGCCGAAGGCCTGCCGCGCTCGGCGCGGCGGCGGCGCCCCCACCGAGGGGCCGCCGAGGGGCCGCCGAGGGGCCGCCGAGGGGTGCCGAAGGGCCGCCGAAGGGCCGCCGAAGGGCCGCCGAAGGGCCGCCGAAGGGCCGCCGAAGGGCCGCCGAGGGGTCGTGAACAACATCGCGACGGGAGATGTTCGAGGAGGAGGAGGAGGAGGAGGAGGAGGAGGAGGAGGAGGAGGAGGAGGAGGAGGAGGAGGAGGAGGAGGAGATGTTTCGCCATTTTCGACCTCTGGGGGCCCTCGACGGGCCTCGGGACCGTCAAGAAACGACTCGGGACGGAAAGCCGGTCCCGGGGAATGGGTCGAGGCTTTTGGGGGTCGACGTGAGGAAAACATCATGACGTCAGGGGATTGGGTGGCAGGACGGACGTGGAGGGGGGTTGAGCCTGCAGATACCATCGGAAGCCGTTCGAGACAGTACGGTCGGGAAGTGTTGCATAGCGTGTCGCCCTGTTGGTGTTGGCTCACCGCGCTGCGGCGGGCGGCGCGACACGCTAATCACGCCGCGGTCACCGAGAGTCAACGTGCCGAGCCTTTCCCAGCCTCCCGCCCCGCGGAGCGGAGCGACACGTTGTCCGCTTGCAGGGCGCAGCGCGTCACCGGGGCCGCTGCAGCGACTTTTTTTGATTCGCGGGTCGAGAGCGCACCTCTTCCGGTCGAAGCTAAGCGGGCCGCGCGAAGCTTGAATCAACCAGGTAAAAAGGGTGGGAAAAAGGGGGGGGCGCAGCCTCAGAACGAGGCCGGGAGGAGGCAACCGCTGCAGCGGCACGCTGCGCAGCATATCCGGACCGTGGTGCGTCCGAGTGCAAGCTGGTCGCCAGCATGCTACCGCGAGGTGCCAAGGCCGCCGCAGGACGGCCCCTCGCGGCCACGGAGCCTGCAAAAGGGGTGTGCCCGAGAGGCCAGAGCTGTTCGCAGAGCCCTGCCGCTGTACACAGACGTGTTTGAGCCGCTCGCCTCTGCGCTTCCTGTGGGCTTCTGAGGCACCGCGTCGGCTAAGTCGTCAAGGGCGCCACAAATGGGCTCCAGGAGGCGATTGATCGCCTGAGCTCTAGAGAGGGGCCGTGCTGGTTCAAGCGTGGCTCTCGCCGAAGGGAGAGATAGAGAGGGGGGCTAGAAGAGCAAACTCACTGAATCACCTACGCCGAGAGGGCGGACCTTCACCCTTCAATGTAGAGTGATCTCGCAAGTTGGTGTCGCTCGCAATGTCTCGGCGAGGATGCTCGTCCCTTTGAACGCTCAGCTCTGGGGCTCTGTGGGGCCTTGGACTCAACATGCAAGTAATTCGCTGGCCTTGAAGACATAGCTTTCATCAGTTTCTTCGACTTCGCGTCGCGGTGCGTTCTTGCTATTCTTTCCATTCGGAGTGGGTCGATTCACCCTCTGAGGGAAATTCTTTCCGAGGCGGGAGTTTATACATAACCACCGCCTGGGGGTTCGATCTTCGGGGATCTGGGCAGGCGGCGGATAAGGGTACATTCGGCACCCCTGGGGCCAGAATGTATGGCCGAGGTGTAAGATCGAGGATGGTCCGGAGATGGTACCCTACTGTGCTCCGTGTTTGTTAGATGTTCTTGTGCATCCAAGGGAGGGTACCCTTGGATGTTCTGTTTGCTTTGGCCGACGGAGGGTCTCGCGCTCTTGAGTGATGATATTATGGCATGTGTTGTGTTGTTTTTTTACCGTCGGAGGGTCCCGTGTTCTTGAAGGATTTTATTCTGGCCTTGGTCCGACTGTATCCACCGCCCGCTGGGGTACCAGGACGTCGATTCACCTGGCGGTGAATATGGCTATGTTCGCGCCTCGCATTCTTACCCTACCCCTGGAGCCAGAGTGCCTATACGACCACCCTTCGGGTGATAAGGAGGTTGTGGGGGGGGGAGAAGAGGGAGAACAGACATCTGACTCAATCGATCTCACTATCGATCTCACTCAACGGGACACCACGGGACACCACGGGACACTTATCGTTTTCATTATCGATCTCAATATCGATCTCACTCACAGGGACACCACGGGACACTACAGGCCGCCACGGGACACCACGGGACACCGCGGGACACCTCTCGATCCCACTATCGGTCTCACTATCGATCTCACTATCGATCCCACTCAACGGGACACCATAGGACACCACGGGACACCACGGGACACTACGGGACACCTCGGAACACCACAACGATCTCACTATCAATCTCACTATCGATCTCAATTTCGATGTCACTCAACGGGACACCACGGGACATCACGGGACACCTGTCGATCTCATGATCGATCTCATTATCGATCTCACTTTTTGGGATACCACGGGCCACCACTGGACACTTCGGGGCACCACATCGATCTCAGTATCGATCTCACTATCGATCTCACTATCAATCTCACTCAACGGGACACCAGGGGACACCACAGGACACCTGGCGATCCCAGTATCGATCTCACTATCGATTTCATGTTTGGGGACACCACGGACCACGGGACACCTCGGGGCACCACATCGATCTCAGGATCGATCCCACTATCGATCTCATTATCGATCTCACTATCGATCTCACTCAGCGGGACACCACGGGACACCACGGGACACCACTGGACACCACGGGACACCGCGAGACACCGCGAGCCACCGCCGGACGGACGGACGGACGGGCGGGCGGGGGAGAATCATGTGTCTTGATTTCGCCCTAGCAACGGCGGACACCACAGGACACCACGGGACACCGCGGGACACCGCGAGCCGCTGCCGGACGGGCGGGCGGAGGAGAATCATTTGTCTTGACTTCGCCCTAGCAGCGGCGGGTTCATTCCTCTCGCGCGCCCACGCAGCTTCGCCTCGCCCGCTCGCACGACACGAACGAAACGAAACGATTTTCCGCTTGGGGGTGTTCCATTGCGATCTCACCCCCCGACCTCAGATATCCAGATCCACCGCCCGCTGGGTTCCCAGGACGTCGGTTCACCAGGCGGTGGATGTGGATGGGCTCGCGCCTCGCATGTGCACTCTAGGCGATGCTGAAGAAAACCCAAGCTTTCGGCCAGAGTCTAGATTATTCTTAACGTTTCAATGTAAGTCTTAAGATTTTGATAGACATGTTGGGTTTTTGTTCAAGATCTGAGACTATGAATTTCTTAACCCATGATTTCTTAAGCATTTCGCAGGGTGTATGGATGGGTTCGCGCCTCGCATGTATTACTCATGGGAATGGCCCCTGTCCTCCTCCTCCCCCAGGTTTGTTGGTAGAAACTCCGGGAAGCTGGCCCAGGTTTCTGAAGTGGTGATTTTCTTGATCATACATAGTTTTGGCCGTATATCATCCACTCCGCGCCCCTCTAGGCCTTCCCCCCCCCCCCCCCTCGAGACACCGCTTTCCCCCCCCCCCCCCCCCCCTTCGAGACACCGCCAACCCGCCAACCCCTCGCCCCCACGCCCATTCCCTCCTCCTCCTGCTGATCTTCCTTGCTGATGCTGCGGCCTCCGCGTCCTGCCCCGATGGGCAGGGGCGGATTCCCCAGCGGAGGTCGCCCGACTCTGGCGTTCGTTCCTTCGTTCGTCCTCCTGCTCCTCCTCCTCCTCCTCCTCCTCCTCCTCCTCCTACTCCTCCTCCTCCTCCTCCCCCTCCTCCTCCTCCTCCTCCTCCTCCTCCTCCTCCTCCTCCTCCTCCTCCTCCTCCTCCTCCTCCTCCTCCGAGGATGGGTTCGCGCCTCGCATGTATTACTCATGGGAGGGCCCGTGTCCAGGCCCTCCTCGCGGGGGCGCCACCGTGGCCACGGCGGGGCGCACGTTCGCAAGCTCGTGCTCGGGGGGAAGCTCCTCGGGGCGGCGCTCTTCCCTCCCCCAATCCTCCGCTCTTCGACCCCCTACAGTCGAGCGTACACCTTAGGCGATGCTTAAGAAAACCTAAGTTTTCGGCCAGAGTCTCGATTATTCTTAATGCTTCAATGTAAATCCCAAGATTTGAATAAACATTCTGGTTTTCATTCAGAATCTGAGACTATGAATTTCTTAACCCATGATTTCTAAAGCATTTCGCAGGGTGTACAGTCGAGCGTAGGATCAAGAAACCTCCCCCCCGAAAAGCAGGGCCAGCGTATCCTGACCAACTTGCTGGAAAGCTTGCCCAGCTTCTTCGGCACGTGCGTCCCTCCAGCGTGGACAGATAGAGGTGGCCCAGGTTTGTTGGTAGAAACTCCGGAAAGCTGGCCCAGGTTTCTGAAGTGGTGATTTTCTTGATCATACATAGTTTTGGCCGTATATCATCCACTCCGCGCCCCTCTAGGCCTTCCCCCCCCCCCCCCCCCCCCCCCCCCCTCGAGACACGCTTTCCCCCCCCCCCCCCCTTCGAGACACCGCCAACCCCGCCAACCCGCCAACCCCTCGCCCCCACGCCCATTCCCTCCTCCTCCTGCTGATCTTCCTTGCTGATGCTGCGGCCTCCGCGTCCTGCCCCGATGGGCAGGGGCGGATTCCCCAGCGGAGGTCGCCCGACTCTGGCGTTCGTTCCTTCGTTCGTCCTCCTGCTCCTCCTCTCCTCCCCTCCTCCTCCTCCTCCTCCCCTCCCTCCTCCTCCTCCTCCTCCTCCTCCTCCTCCTCCTCCTCTCCTCTCCTCCTCCTCCTCCTCCTCCTACCCGCCCTACTCCTCCTCCTCCTCCGTGCTTTGGGCTGCTACGCTCGGTGTTCTACACAGGCAGGCCCCCCCTTGATCTGCTGTCGGGATTCTTTGTCAATGCCGTGCCCCTGCAAGTCTCGAGCCGCTCCCGGGGGGGGCCGGCTCTTCCCCCCGCGACTCGTTTCTGGGCGGCTTCCGGGCCGGCCGAGGGCCGGTCCTCTTTTTCGTCGCCGTCGTCGTCGTCGTCTTCCTCCTCCTCGTCCTCCTCCTCCCTCCTCCTCCTCCTCCTCCTCAAGCCATTTCGGCCTGCAGGCGCGCGCGCGCGCGCCCGTGCGGGCCGAGGCTGCAGGGCGCGCACCATCGGCGGCGGCGGGCTGGGGCTCGCTGTACGCCGACTCGCGGCTTGAGGGGGGCGGCAGCAGCCGCTGCAAAAGTCCCTGCAGCCCCAGCAGTACATGACCAGGGGCCGCGGCTGGAAGAGAGATGAGGAGGAACAAAGCTCGTGGGCGTCATGGGGTGCGCCCTGGCGCTCATCGTCGAGATCTTCCAGCTGCAGGCCGCCCAACACAAAGGGCAAGAGGCACACGCAATACCTGGTATGCCCTGTTTGTCCTATGGGCAATGGCAATTGGGTCTATTGCAATCGAGCAGGTAAGCCTGGGTGGACCAACTGCAAGTCGTGCGGATACGAGTGGAAGGCACCCAGCACTGGATCACGCGCTGAACAAGCAGAAGACGGAGGAGCCTCGGACGCTGCCAAGGCAATGGTGGAGCTCCTCAGGAAGCAGTACGTCCTGGCGCAGCAGCAGAATGACCAAGTCAAGATGGACGAGATCGTGGCGGCGTGCCCAGAGGCCAAGCCGATGGACCCCGTCGAGCCCGCTGAGCCATCCATGGGGCAGAAGCTCCAGCAAGCGGTGGCGGAGCTCAACAAGCTGCAGAAGCAACAGGACAAGCTCGCCGCGCAGCTCAAGCGGGCCACCGAGTATCGTGACGACGTGCTCTACAAGATCAGCACCAACGTGGCCGAGCTTGCGGAGGCAAAGCGGGCATTCACGGAGGCAAAAGAAGAACTGGGTGGGGAAGATGAAGTACCTGAAGCTGAGAAGAAGCCAGATGATGAAGAACAGTTCCCTACTCTCTCCCAGGAGGACCTGGCCATGCTGGACGAGAAGCAGCAGAAGGAATACGATCAGATCCAGAAAGATTACCAGCAGGCTAAGACGTTCATCAACGCAAAGAAAGAAGCTGTCCAGAATGCCAAGAAGGCGCTCGACGCTGCCAAACAGATCCACGAGAAAGCTAGTAAAAGACGTCGCGGAGGCCAAGGCGAAGCTCGTACTGACCAGGCACCTGCGGCATCAGCAATCCCTGAATCTGTCCTACCAGAGCAGCCAGCTGGAGCAGGAAAGCCTATGGATCCAGATCTCAGGTTGGCAGCCAAGTATGACCTCTCCAAGGATGACCAGGTCCAGACCTACCTCGCGGAGCTGGCCAAGATCAAGGGCAGGACCAAGGTCGCGTTGGCTACCAGGCAGGCACCGCCACCGCAGCCGCAGCAGGCGGCATCAGCAGCAGCAGAAGCTAAAGGAGACCGAGTTGGAGGGTAGCATGAATTCCACGCAGTGCTACTACGCGGCACTAGCAGAGCCAGCTGCGAAGGGGGGTGAGCCACAAGGGGTGGGCCACGTGCCGAGGAGCGGCAAACCCCCACTCGCAGCAGGCCTTCTTCAGGAACCAAGCATCAAGCCCAGGCCGGTGTACGTTAAGACGGTCTGGATCGACGACGAGGTCGACTACATCACCGAGAGTGCTTTTACTCGCAGGGGTGATGCTATGACTACCGCGCCGTCTCCCTTTTCTACTTGCGGGAGCTCTACGAGTGCTACGATGGCGTCGGACCCAGATCGTGCAGGGGCGCAGGAATCTGGATCAACGTTCTCAGTCATCAACGGCACCAAGCAGAGCAAACTGAACAACGATGTCAGGGACTTTGTCAACATTTTCGTGGCCAACTGCACGCAGTACAATGAGGCCGCCAAGAAGTTCGTAGAAGACGAGGAGAGGGAGGAGTACGATATAATTGCATTTAATGAGCACCACTTACGAGGACCAGCGGCGGATATCGAAGCTAACAGGCTCATGCGACTGGGCTGGCGTTCCCATGGGACCTGGGCACCAGCTCGACAGTCACCGAGATCGAAGAAAGGGGCGCTAGGAGGCACCTGCATACTTCGTCGTCGGCATTTGGATGCCCGCATTCACCTGCCAGACGCGCAGGGCCACAGCATCTTCGCCAAGGACTTCCACGACATCACCATCGTCAAGTGGCAGCTCAAAGGACAGGAGATAGCAGTCATCACAGCATACCTCACGGCATCGATTGGTTTTACGGGTGAGAATATTCGCAAGATGAAGCACTTCTTGCAGCTTGCGCGCAGCCTGGGCAACACGCCCTGGATTATCTGCGGTGACTTCAACAACGCGCCCCAGGAGCTTGAGGCGACGCCATGGCTAAGGCTACTTGGAGCAGCGATTGTGGTGCCACAGCACGTTAGTCATACGTGCGGCAGTGGGTCGGGCAGGATGATAGACTATGCATTGGCCCCTCCCGTCTTTCGCCCGCTCCTGAAAGCAGTGCGAGCACAGCACGACGTCCCATGGTCATCGCACATAGGTATTGTTATAGAGATCTTGGCCAAGCCGAACATGATCACCATCCGTAAGCCCATGCTCCCAGCTAAGAAGCCCATCCCGACCGCGGATGTGCGGCGAGAGAAGGGCATTGAGAGGAAGCAAAGGGACAGACAGCAGCACCAAGAAATGGCAAAGTACTTCGACACAGAACTCCTGGACGACGCGCTCCTGGACGCGTGCTACACCGAGACCGTGGCTATGAAGTGCGACCCGACCATCTGGGGCGAGTGCCGCCAGGAGGAGGCATCTTGCCAAATCCGAGGCCCCCCCCCCCCCCAGGTGGGTTCAAGATTCGCTGGCATACAAGCAGAACCCGAGGGTGAGCGACTTGCTCGGCAAAGCATACGGCAACTGGGCCAATGCAGCGGAGAGGGCGCTTGCTGCAGTCACGCAGAACCCGATCAAGGCTACGGCGAGGAGGGGGCAACCAATCCGCTATCGCGAGGTGCCGTTCCCACGGCGCGCTGCGAGCAAGCAGGTCGAAGACACCGCGGCAGATACTCAACGACAAGTCAGTACTCTTTGGTCGAAGTTATAGCGGCGATGCCATGATGGAGAATTTGTTCTCAGGAGGGAGGCGCCCGATCGACGGCCAGAAGCACCTGGACACGATCAGCAGTTTTATCAGGACCTATGTCAACCAGTTGGACTCCTTCGACACAGCAGAAGGGGGCGAAACAGCACACCTTGATAGACAAGCGAGACGCCTTGCGTCCCGCGTCACCAGCCTCCGTCACGACCCTGCGCCTGAGAATACCATCGAGAATATCCAAGAGTGGCAGGAGGCTACGGAGTTGACGAGGGCACGCATGGACTGGCATATGCGGGTTCTTTGGAAGAAAGTCAGAGAGCAAGTCGGCCAAGGGGCCAGGGCGGCGTTGCCAGGCAGCATGAAGGCGGCCCGCAACTACATTAGCAAACGTGAAAGACGAGGCCTACCAGATACAGCAGTGGGCCCAGTCACGAAGGAGGAGACAGGCGCTCTACGCTACGCTACTGCACGTCGTGCAAGGATTTGGCAGACGAGGTGGCAGAGGCACAACAGCAGTCAGAAGTTGGAGGAGGCGATGGTAGACTTAAGACGAGCGGCACAGGGCGAACTACCCCAGCGGGGGTACTATAATGTTGACGACTTGGAAGCAGCGCTCCAGAAGTTCCGACCTAATACAGCGCGTGGTCCTGACCAATGGCAACCACCCGAGATTAAACCCTGCCGCCCGATGCCAAGCGCAGCCTGGTCTTCGTGATCAACTCGTGCGAGCGGAACCTATGCTGGCCACACCAATTCTACCACCTGTGGTACCACCTATTGGTCGAAGCTGGCTCTAACACTGCTGGCGAGGAAAGGCCAATTGGACTACTACCCTTCCCTGTGCGATTGTGGGGCGAAATGGCAACGAGCGAAATGCAAAATTGGTGCGCAGAGAAAGCGGGCTACTGGGATGCAGCAATCCACGGGTCCTCGGCTCTTCGTGCAGCGTTACTTTCTATGTCGCTCGACGAGACCAGCGCGAAGCTCAACGGATCACTTTATGGCACCTTCTACTTGGGCTTGGAAAAATTTCATGACAGCGTGGATTTGAGCATCTTGATCAAACGAGCCATGCAGCTTGACTATCCGAAGGTCAACTTATACATGAGTATGTTAATGTATATATCCCCGCGCGTGGCACGCGCATGCCGCGATCATGCTGAACCAATATGCCCATGGAACGGCATAGTGGCTGGATGTGCAGCGGCAAACCACGCAGCGAGGGCCATGATCTACACTATCTTGGACATCACCCACAATGCTGCGCCGCTTGCCATCACGAGGGGGTTTGTTGATGACGTGCACACGAGAGTCGAAGGTCAGACCGAACAGTTCCAGGAGCAGTTCCCAGTGGCGGTCGATGTGCTTGTGCAGGCCTGCCTGGGCTCAAAGCTGGTGGTCTCAGGAAAGTCAGCGCTCCTCACGAACTGCGACGTGGCCAAGAAGTACATCGTGAAGCACCTCAAAGGCAAGGGCATCAGCATTAAGACTCCCAAGTTCGTCAAGGACCTGGGCATAGATGCGGCACTGGGAAGGCAGCGCGTCACAGCCACGCGTACTGCCAGGACTAAGCAGGCAAAGCTACGCGCAAAGCGTGCCAGGATCTTCAGCAAGCAGAAGGGCAAATGGCGGCGAAGGACGGCGATGCTCTTCAGTTCCAACCTGAGAGCCAAGCAGAGCTACGATTGGCCAATTACAGGGCCCAGTCCAACTGCAGTGCGTGAAGCGCGAGCTCAGGCGGCAGAGATGGTTGGATTCACAACTAGCGGCAGATGCACATCAACAATCAACATCATCTTTTACGGCGAGAACGAGCCAGGTACAGCATGCCTGCAGCGACAAGTACGTGAATGGGTACAGATGTGGCAAAAAGGATACCTCAGCACATCAACGTCTACGACAAGGCTGGCAAGCTAACAACGAACGTCTGGCCCAAATGCGAACCCGTGGAAAGTGGAATTTAGTGACAGGACCAATGGGGGCACTTATTCTCTCATTGCAACAGCTGGGGTGGAATCCACGCATGCCAGATGAGTGGGAGGATGCGAGTGGCGCGACGTGGAGGTTCCAGAGTGAGGGAGTGCTCGGCTTTCGCGACATCATGAAGTCCATCACCAGGGACACGCAAGCTCAGCTCTGGACCAAAGCAGCGGACCACTACTACGGTAAGGGCATGCAGCACGGGATGGACATCACCATGCTCAAGAAGACGCTCCAGAAACTACGTGAAGCTGACCGGGTCCAAGAAGCAGGCGCGTTAGAAGCACTTGCTTGTGGCGCGATATGGACAGGACAACGATGTAAAGCAGCAGGATACCAGACAGATGGAGTTTGTCTGCGATGTACTAAGGCGCCTGACACGCTGAAGCACAGGATCTACAACTGCGAAATGAACGACAACCTCCAGATTGACGCGGTGGTCAAGTCACAGTCGTTCTGTCAGAAGGCCTTAGAGGAGATGCGCGACAACCCAGAGACGGAAGCATACTGGCTACGAGGGGTACCCCCCAAGCACAGGAATCCTGTACTTGATCCACCAGCATGGGGTGATTGGAATGGCAGCTACTGGACGACAGCAACAAGAGGACCCAAAGTAATAGCAAGCAATTTGGTCACGATAGATCCCGTTCAGTGCAGCATGGCTTTCGTAGATGGATCAGGCACTAGCAACGACATGCGCATCAATAGAGTGGGATGGGGCCTCACATTACAGCTACGAGATGAACGATGGGAGCGGCCAGGGCAAGCGCACATGTGGTGCCCCAACGCCCTCGTGGCACAAGGGGGCCCAACTGAGTTGTGCCATGAAGCAGAGGCTAGCGCACCAACGGACACAGAAGCGGAGGAGCAGAGAAAGGGCATCATGCACGACCTTGGCATATGGGCAGCTACATGGACGGTATACATCGACCTAGACGAGGCCAGGAACCATGTTAATTGGAAGATGTGGTGTGAACCGTACATGGAAAGCTACCTGCGACAACCAGAACAAGCAGCACTACGACAATTACTCAAAGCAAGATACCAGACCCGAAGCACTAGCCAGATCGCGAAGGGCCTTTGTGATATGCAATGGAGATCGTCCAAGAAGAAGCGGAAAGACGTGTGCGAATTTTCCCTCACCCTTACGGGCTGGGAAAGAAAAGCATACATATCCCATTGGTTCGACAGCGTAGCGGACACCAAGGCCAAGTTCCGCGAACTATTGCAAGACCGAGCGCCCACCTTCGACCAGGAAGTGCCTGAAACTTATGGAGATAATGATGAGGACCGACCAGCAGCCATGCATGTGGTGGCCCACGAGATCTACAAGGCCAGCCTGCCGAACGACAACACGGGCTTCATTGAAGGCACAGACCATATCGGGTTCTATGGCACCGTAGATGGAGAACAAAGTGTACCTGCTGCTGAACATGCAGGACTTTTCTGGGCTCTGGAGCTGACGCGAGGCCCGTTATTGATCATCGCAGACTTCCAGGTGGTCATGCATGGCGGGACCCTCAAGTACAACGAGCAGCCCCAAGGTACTCAGCGTCCATGGTGGGAAAGGATAAAACTTATGCTCAGCAGGCGGTCTGGCGGTGTGTATGGAGTACGTGTCCAGAAGTGCATATCCCACCTCGACGGCGAATCGGTTAAGCAGGCTGGCCAGGAGTTCCACATCAGCATGGGCAATGAGATGGCGGATACGCTGGCGCAGCGAGGAGCAGAAGAGGCAATGGCAGACATACGGCAGGAGGTCAAGGCGTTGGTGGAAGTAGAGACTACACTTATGAGGGCCCAAAGGCGGGCAGCAGCGATCATCCACGAGGCGCGCAAGGATGCGGACACCACCAAGCTTGAGAGGCCCAGACAGATGCCTAAGAAAATAGCAAAGGAAAGCAGAGATCAGATCGAGAAGGAGTCGGGCCACAGAATGCGAAAGAAGAAAGGGCAATGGGTTTGCCAAGAGTGCTGGCTGGCCCCAGGCAAGTACAGCGTGGTCGACTGGACGAAGGCTGAGGCAGTACGAGACACACCGAGCAGATCATGGACATGCAGTCCGTGTGCCCAACAACGAGCTGATTGAGATCACGACAGCCACAGCATTGCAGTGGCCCATCGGCAGTTCTGGTGCTGGAATTGTGCTGCGGTGGCTTCGCACAACGACTACGGACACGGCAGAGTGAACCTACTGGCGATGGAGTGCAGGAATAAGATCACGCAGAGCGGGACTACTGTACTTCGTCGGCTACGACAAGGACTACCACCAAAGGCTGGCCAGAATTGGCCAGATGGGACGATCCCGCCTAACGGCGGGCGGCTACCACGAGCTGCAGCTGGGCGACGACCTCGTGGTTGACCTCATGGCACGGGGCTACGGCCCCGCAGAGATACTCTGGCCTGGAGTGCCAGTGGGGTGGACGCCCGCCCTGTTCAGGGGGTGGGGTCGCGACCCCTGAGAGCCCGCGCGGCCTGCGCGGGCGGGGGCCGCGGCGGCCGAATCGACCGCGGAACCCCTCGCTCGAAGGTCCTCGAAGGTCCTCCTCCTCCTCCTCCTCCTCCTCCTCCTCCTCCTCCTCAACCTGCTCCTCCCGCTCCTCCTCCTTCTCCTCCTGCTCCTCCTTCCTCTTTCGATGCGCGGTCCCCGGAAGTCTCGACCCATTCCGCAGGGCCGGCTTCTCATCCCGAGTCGCTTTCTGAGGGCCCCGAGGGCCGGTGAGGGCCCCCAGGAGGCCGCAAATGGCGCAGCACCGCCCGTCAGGGCTGTTTCGTGGCTCGAGGAAGTCTCGACCCATTCCTCAGGACCGGTTTCTCAATCGCGAGTCGCTTTGTGACGGCCCCGAGGGCCGGTGAGGGCCCCCATGAGGCCGAAAATGGCGAAGCACCTCCTGTGAGGGCCGGTGAGGGCCCCCGGAGGCCGAACATGGCGCAGCAGCACCTCCCGCCAGGGCCGTTTCGTGGCTCGAGGAGGCCGCTCTGGGGGTCTGGGGGCCGAGCACGGCGGCGAACCCTTCTCAGGAGGGGAAAAAGCACACAGACGCAATGATTTCTAGATTCCCAGGAAAATATGGGAAGTGGGGGGGAAGACGAAAACCCAGAACATATGGGAAAATATGGGGCATCTTTTTATTTGTGTGTATTGATTTGTGTGTCCTGGGGCCCCTTCACCTTCGCGCGGATTTCTCCATGCGTGGGAGCTTCCTTCAGCCACTCGCAGAGGGGGGTGGGGGGAGGGGGGAGGGCTTCTTAGAAGCACCCCTGCTCCTTCGGAGGCGCGGGCCTTGCATCTGTAGATGTGAGGCCGGCGCCTTCTCAGAAGCAGCCTGCTTCTGAGAAGCCCTCCCCCGTGTGCGCGCCGCCGTCCCAGACCCCCGACGTGATGTTTTTTTCGTTACGTCGACCCCCAGAGGTCCCGACCCTTTCCCCATGACCGGCTTTGCATCCCGAGTCGTTTTCTGACGCTCCCGAGGGCCGGTGAGGGCCCCCAGGAGGCCGAAGATGGCGCAGCAGCACCTCCCGTCAGGGCTGTTTCGTGGCTCGAGGAGACCGGTCTGGGGTCCGGGGGCCGAACACTAAAACAGGGCTAGGATCGGGATAAGGAGCGCTCTCAGAGCGTTCCGGAACGCTCTGGAGCGGCCGCGGCGCCCAATACATCCTCCTAACCCGCCGATTCTCAGAGATTTCGAGTTATCCCGATCCGATTTTGTCCCGATCTTCGCGTCGTTTTAAACACGGCGACGAACCCTTCGCGCGGATTTCTCCATGTGTGGGAGCTTCCCGGGCCCGCTCGGGCGCCTGCGCAGGCCGACCCCGCCCCTCGGGCGCGCGCGGGCCCCCGCGCGCCCGCGCAGGTGCGCGGCCTGCGCGCCGCGTGGGGCTGGTCCTCCGGCGGCTCCGGCCCGAGCCCCGCCACGCCCTCCTCCGAGGCCGGAGTCGGTGCACCTCCCCCCCAGACTTCCTCGAGTCATGCAAAAATCACGACGGGAGGTTTTTCGTTTTTTTCGGCCTCCGGGGGCCCTCACCGGGCCTCGGGAGCGTCAAAAAACGACTCGGGATGAAAAACCGGTCCCGGGGAATGGGTCTGGACCTCTGGGGGTCGCGTCATGAAAAAGTCATGACGTCGGGGGTCTGGGCCAGAGACCCAGAGATCCAACGCCTTGAACAAAATCAAGACGGGAAGGTTTTCTATGGTTCGGCCTCTATAAGGGGCCCTCGCCGGGCCCCGGCACCGTCAGAAGACGACTCAGGATGAAAAGCCGGTCCTGGGGAATGGGTCGAGGCTTCGGCGACCGCGTAATGAAAAAATCATGACATCGGATCTCTGAGGAGATCCAGCGCGTCGAAAAATCGAGACGGAGGTTTGTCGCCATTCTCGGCCTCTGGGGGCCCTCGCCGGGCCCCTGGACCGTCAGTAAACGACTCGGGATGAAAGCCGGTCCTGAGGAATGGGTCGAGACTTCCGGGGACCGCGCATCGAAAAACGAAGGAGGAGCAGGAGGAGAAGGAGGAAGCAGGAGGAGCAGGTTGAGAAGGAGGAGGAGGAGGAGGAGGAGGAGGAGGAGGAGGAAGTGGAAGAGGAGGAGGAGTAGGAGGAGGAGGAGGAGGAAGAGGAGACGGAGGAGGAGGAGGAGAAGGGAGGAGGACGAGGAGGAGGAGGACGACGACGACGACGACGAAGAAGAGGACAGAATGAAGATTCGCGACGTCGGATCTCTGGGTCTCCACTGCCCCAGGGGCCCGATGCCCAGGCGTGCTCGCGTCGTGGAGGTCTCGGGGGGGGGCTGCCGATCCACAGAGCTTGGCCCCGGGGGCCCTCCTCGCAGGGCCCCGCCCACCGTCAAGCGGCGATGCGGGATGAGAGGCCGGCCCCGGGGCAAGGATCGGGGCCCGATGCCCAGGCTTGCTCGCGTCGTGGAGGTCTCGGGGGGGGGGGCTGCCGATCCACAGAGCTCGGCCCCGGGGGGGCCCTCGCAGGACCCCGCCCAGCGTCAAGCGGCGATGCGGGATGAGAGGCCGGCCCCGGGGAACGGATCGGGGGCCGCGTCTAGCAGCACAGAGTCGCAGGCATGGAGCTTGACACCACCACCAACATCGGCGGTGTGCATCCACCGAGGGAAGAAGCTCCCGATCTCGGTGATGGTGGTGGTGATATTCTGGTTTCAAGGTGACCAGGATATTACCACCAACACCGGAATCTGGGATCATCCTCCTCCCGTAAAGGCAACCTCCTGTGTTGGTGTCAGTGCCCATGTCCAGGCCTCCAACAGAAGACATCGGAATATTGGGTTCCCGGCTTCCAGGATAAAACAGGGCTAGGATCGGGATAAATCGCTCCAGAGCGTTCGGGAGCGCTCTCAGAGCGTTCCGGAACGCTCTGGAGCGGCCGCGGCGACCAATACAGCCTCCTAACCCGCCGATTCTCAGAGATTTCGATTTATCCCGATCCGATTTTGTCCCGATCTTCGCGTCGTTTTACAGGAGGCAGCAACCTTCGGCCGCCCAAGCGTGCAGGTATATCTGAAGGTCTGGGGGCGCTTCGGGAAGTTCGTGGCCCGTTCCAGAGGTCCAGGTGTCCAGGGCTGCCGCCGCGACGCCCATAATAAACGGGGTCATCGTCGCCGGCATTCGCGCGTGAGCTGCCCGCGTGAGCTCCCGAGTGAGCGCCCTCGCCTCCAATGTAGCTGAAGGGGCCCTGGGACACACAAATAAATATACACAAAAAAAAATATCCCCCATCTTTTCCCATATCTTCTGGGTTTTTGTCTTCCCGCCCAATTCCCATATTTTCCCATACTTTCTGGGAGATCGACGATTAATTGTGTCTGTGTGTTTCTTTCCCTCCTGAGTAGCGCGCCGCGCTGGCGGCCCGCGTACGCCGCCTCATCATCTCGCGCAAGACCCGTTGTTGATCGTCGCCTGCCTGTGGCACCTCAGAGAACCGATGTCATGATTTTTGTGTCAGACGGGGTGCCTGGAAGTCTGGACCCTCTGCCGGGGACGGGCCTTTCATCCTGAGTCGTTTTTTGACGGTCCACGGGCCCGACGAAGGCATTTCTAGAGGCCGAAGGCGGGGAAACGTTTCCGCTTTGTTGTTTTCAATCCGTTGGAGTTCTGGGGCCTCGGACATCGGTTCCCACAGCGGTGGACAAGAATACGGTCAGGAGCTTTTGGGTAGCGTGTCGCGCCGCCAGTTTTGGCTCGCCGCGCAGCGGCGCGACACGCTGTCCGGCTCCAGGTCCCGAGCTTTTCCGAGCCCTCCGACCTGCGGAGCAGAGCGAACCGCTTTCCGCTTGCAAGGCGTACCGTGTCTCGCTGGGGTCGCCGCCGCGACACGCTAAGCAACAGTTCCTGACCGTATAAGCTCCGGCCTCGGACTCTCGACGCCCAAGCCGACGCCCCAGCCGCCCCCGCCGACGGCCCCGCCGACGGCCCCGCCGACGCGAGCGCCGACATCGCCACCCACTGCGAGGCCTCCGACGAGGCAGCCGACGCCGTCGCCAACCTCGCAACCGACGCCGGCGCCCACCGCGTTCGTGAGCCGCGTCACCGGCTCCCTGGAGTTCGCCGCCCTGGGCGCCACTGAGCAGCAGGTGCAGGGTAGAGCAATACGTGTACACACATACCTATACGACCACCCTGCGGGTGATAAGGAGGTAGGGGGGGGGAGGGGGCCAGCAATGGGCAACGGTGGTGATTGTTGTTCTGACGACGCCAGTGGAGATTGTTGCGTTGACGCTCGCTCTTGGGAACCTTGGTGTCGAGTTGCTTACGTCACCCTTCGCTAGCATTTGCTTATCGATGTGCATGTCGGTTTGCTTTTCGATCTGCATTTCGATCTGCTTTTCGAGCTGCATCTCACAATCGGTCTCACTATCGATCCCACGACCGATCTCACTATCGACCTTACTATCGATCTCACTCGATCGATCTCACTATCGGTCTCACTCGATCGATTTCACTGTCGATCTCACTCTCGATCTCGTTTTCGATCTCACAATCGATCTCACTATCGATATCACTCCATCGATCTCGCTATCGATCTCACTATCGATATCACTCCATCGATTCCACTATCGATCTCACTATCGATCTCTCTATCGATCTCACTCGATCGATTTCACTATCGATCTTACTCAATCGATCTCACCATCGATCCCACTATTGCTCTCACTATCGATCCCACCATCGATCTCAGCATCGATCTCACCCGATCGATCTCACTATCGATCTCAGTATCGATTTCACAATCGATATCACAATCGATCTCACTATCGGTCTCACTATCGTTTTCGCACCAGCGGGACAATGGGACACCAGCGGGACACCGGCGGGACACCGGCGGGACACCGCGCGGCCCCTTTTGCCGGTCTGGAAACAGTTGGTCCGGCCGCGACTCAGCCACAGGAGACTTACCGGGACACCAGCGGGATACCGGCGGGACACCGGCGGGACACCGCGTGGCCCCGTTTGCGGGGGGGGAATCATTTGGTCCGGCCGCGCCTCAGCCACAGGAGACTTTCCTCTCGCCCGCCCGCGCAGCTTCGCCTCGCCAGCACGACGCTCGGCACGCACCGTCACGAAGCCGAAAGCGATTTCCCGGTGGGGGGCTCTCCGTTCCACTTCTCGGGCTGGACGAAAGGGGGGGATTGGGAAAGGGGGGGTTACGAAATTTGCTGCATGCAGCTGGTTTCGGCCTCACCCAGGGGCCCATTCCTCGATGCATCGCCGCCTCCGGCGCCGGGAGGCGCCGGGAAAATCAGCTACGTGAGCTGATTCTCAAATTCACCCTTTGCTATCCCCCCTTTCGCCCGACCCGAACTTCGATCTCACCCCCCAGCCTCCGATATATCGTGAAAGCCTTGCGGCCGTCGCCGCCGATCCCGAAGCAGGCGGGGCTTTCCCCGGGAGCCCCGCTGGCGTACCCCCAGGATCGGGCCAGGCGAAAGGGGGGGATTGGGAAATGGGGGGGTACGAAATTTGCTGCATGCAGCTGGTTTCGGCCTCACCCAGGGGCCCATTCCTCGATACATATAGCCGCCTCCGGCGCCGGGAGGCGCCGGGAGAAGCAGCTACGTGAGCTGATTCTCAACCCCCCCCCCCTTTGCTATCCCCCCCTTTCGCCCGACCCGACAGGACCCGCCGGGGCCCTGGGGAGCGGCACTCTGACCCAGGACCCCCTCCCGGCCTGTGTCCTCCTGCCCACAGGGGAAGCCCCGCCCCTCGGGCCCGCCGCAGGAACTGGGGGGGGGGCGGACATCCGACCCAGGACGCCCCCCTCCGTACCCCCGTCCTGTACCACTGCGTCCTATTTCTGTGCGCCCTCTCCCCCAGGCGACTGGCAGCCAGCCAGGATCAACGAGAGCACCCCCCGCCATCCCCGTCAAAATTCCATACGGACACACATTTTGGGGCAAAGTTTCGGGTCAAGCTCGTGGGCCCTGCGAGCAAGACGCATTGTTTTTTGACTGGGACGGCGGGGGTGCCCTCGCCTGCTTTGCGCAAAGCCACCACCCTTGGCAGAAACAGCACAACATGCACTTCGCGGCTAAATTTGGCCAGCGCGTCCACCCCGTGATCATTGTCCATTCTAGTGTTCGACAAGGACCGCGGGGGTGGTGGCATATTGCTTGCTGTTTGCAGGCCCACCAGGCACCATGATGGCCTCCCCGCAGGGATTGCGCATTGGTTTTCGACAAGGGTGGGGGCCCACATGCTTCCCGATGTGAGCTGTCACGTGCGCAGGCGCACCTGGCACACTCTGCGCATGCCCCAGACGTGGCGCCCCTGGCGCGGCTGGACCATGCGGCACACATGGCGCACGTGGCGCATCTGGCGCGCGGGGCGTGCCTGGCACGCTGGGGCCCCAGGGTGCCTGGCGCATCTGGAGCGCCTGGCGCGCGTGGCGCACCACGCCCCATCGCGCACATGGGGTCTGTATTGGTTCCCAGTAGCTACCCATGCATAGACGGCCGCTGAACATGCTGAGGCCCGGGTGCTACTTATGTGTTGGGAGGGCGGGTGGGAGTGAGCGAGACAGCTTGCGGGCGGGGAGGGAGTCTTGACCCCCCCCCCAGTACACCCCCCCCCCACCCCGCCCGTACCCCCCCTCCCGCCAGGGAGGGGAAAACTGGGAGAGAATCGACTTAACTACGACGTCTCTTTTTCTTCTGGCACTGGCGACGACGACGACGAAGACGATGACGACGAAAACGACGACAGCGTCTCACACATGCCGTAGGATCATCGGATCCTACGCACCCCTCCGTGGGAATAGAGCTCAGAGGCGATACAGTGAACATGTCCCGACCCCTTCGCGATTTGCTTGGCCGTTTCGCTTAGGACATCTTCAACATTTTGCAAATCAGACGCACCCTTTACGCATACCGCGAAGTCACGGTCCAAAATACGCACGGGCTTTCAATGTTCTATGTTGTTGCATCAAGTTTTGTTCGTCCACAATGGGTTGCATTGGTTTTGGACGTCGCTCACCACAAACCGTTCCGCGTGATATGTCCCCCAACATTGAACATGCACGCACGCATCAATATGCACACACCACACACAACCCAGACAACACGCACACAACACACCGCACACACAACACACAAAACACACACACACAACAGACACACAACACACAAGCACACACTTACACACACTTACACACCACACATATGCATTCAACACACATTCACCCCCCACACACACACACACACACACACACACACACACACACACACACACACACACACACACACACACACACACACACACACACACACACACACACACACACACACACACACACACACACACACACACACACACACACACACACACACACACACACACACACACACACACACACACACACACACACACACACGCACACACACACACACACACACACACACACACACACACACACACACACACACACACACACACACACACACACACACACACACACACACACACACACACACACACACACACACACACACACACACATCGCAAGGTGTGGCAATCCCACCTGCGTTCGAATACGATGCTGTTGATGCACCTCCTTCCCACCAGCCGCCTGGCGGTCCTCATTATCCTCCTTCCCTCCGTTTTCCACAGCTTCTCCATATCTCCTTCTTCCTCCTCTTCTTGTCGATTTCCTGAGATGCCTGCGTGCTGCAGTCCTTTTTGTAACAGCCTGAGCACGCATGTGCCACTCGTAGACCTACGTGTAGACATGTGTTTACCTATGTATACGCTCCTGTGTTTGCCAGTATGGGCCCCGCGCAGTAGGTTGTTGTACCTTCGAAGCGTCGGTCATGTGGTGTAGGAGGAACGAGGTGGCAACGGGCGGCCACAGGCTGCAGCGTTGCGAACCCTCGACATATCGGAAACTGGAGCGTATACGTTACCAGTGGCAGTGGCGGGCTGTCTTGCAATCTCAGGAATTCTTGAGGGTCGGGGGCGACGTCGGGGTGGTGTGGTGTATACTTTTTTCCCCGGTTTCCCGTGGAAGCAAGGAACAATGCATGCACCAGGATCCCGTATACACCAGGATCCGCTTGCATGTGCGAGTTCCAGTGCGGGGCCGGAGAAAGCGTCGGTGTATAGAGCTGGGCTCCTTACCATACACCCCGAGGCGGCAACACGCGGCGGCGGGCGGCAGCGTGGGCGACTCTTCGGCAGAACCCCCGGGCGGCAACGGGCGGCGGCGTGGCGACGCCTCGGCGGACGCTCCAGGCGCGGTAGGCGGCAGCGAGGCGGCAGTGGGCGGCAATCCTCGACGGGGCCCTCGAGGCGGCAACGGGCGGCAACGTGGCAAGTCCTCGCCACCCCCCGAATGCGGCAACGGGCGACAGAGGGCGGCAACGCGGCGGATCCTCGACGAAACCCCTGGAGGCGCCCACGGGCGGTAACAGGCGGCAGCGGGCGGCAACGTGGCGAATCCTCGACATACCCCCCGAGGCGGTAACTGGCGGCAGCAGGCCGCAGCGTGGCCAATCCTCGACATAACCCCCAAGGCGGCAACTGGCGGCAACGCTGCGAATCCTCGACTTGCCCCCCGAGGCAACGTGGCGAGTCTTCGACATACCCCCCGTGGCGGCAACGAGCGGCAAGGTGCGCCAACCTGGCGAATCGTGGAGGTAGTAACCATGTCCTTCGAGAGATAGTGGAGAACGCCAGCGTGCAGGCACGGTTAGGGGATTCTGTATATAGGGATACAATGCATGGTGTGCAACTTCTTTCTGCCCGAGACGTCCGCCGGCACGCTGCCCCCCTGGGGTGGTGCTTACGAGCCAGACTGCACTTGTGCGTTGTCGGTCCAGTGACGCATTCTATCACTAGCTAGCGCGGTCCGCCACATGATCGAGCCCATCATCGGCCCCAAAGTGATATTGACACAGCGGGGCTTAATCTTTCGCTGGAGTATGCGTGACAATTCGGTAGAAGTGGAGGAAGCGATGGCGACCAGCGCGGGCACCTCGGATGAGGGCGGCACCTTCTTCTTCTATTTCGCCGCGGCCTTCCCCTCCATCGAGCACGACATGATGTTCCAGTTCTTCCAGCGGCTGCGCTGGCTCCCGTG